CAAGCTCTCTATATAATATGCATAATATAGGCTGTAGTATGGGAAGAAAATCCGCCCCACACCCCACTTTATATAGTAGCCGAGAGGAGGAAAAACTTGGTGATATTAAGCCTTGATGGCCTCTTCCTAACTTGCCACTTGGTGATAAATTAAGAGATGAAGGATGACTAATCCTCCTCAAACAATCCTCCTAATGCCACGTTATATACTTAAGAGGGAAGAAACTTTTGTTTCCTTTAAGTGAAGAATTCATTACGGCTTAAAGGAAAATAAGGGACAAAGCCACGGCTTTTTATATGTTAATTGTGATTAATTACCAATTAATCACAATTAAATACTTAATTAAATAATTTAGCATAATACTTAATTACCAAAATTATTCCGAACGTAAACGGAACGTCGAAAATAATTTTCGGTAATCTTGACTGAAAATAATTAATTCCGAAAATAATAATCGATAATATTATTATATCGGAACTAAAACATAATTTATACTGACAAAATAACGGGATATTACAAATCAACACAGGCATTGGGGGCAATGAAGAGACAGTTCGGAGGGGGCATCCTTTCGGTTCTGGCGGAGAAGACGAGGAAATGCTCACCTCAGTCCTACGGATCATCTGGTCAGAATAAGCGTAGGCAAAGAAGATGTGAATCAGTGTCTGTACTAAACTCTGTGAAAGAGTCAATTAAAGACATGAATGACACTCTTAATTTGCTGAGGCAGGATCCACCGGACCAAAGGGATCATAAGGAAGCCCTTCTTCTACTTGATGCTATGGAGGTTCCCGAGCCTATCTACAAGGTTGCTTTGAAGAGGCTGCAGGAGGAAATGGCTCGTCATATGTTTCTTAACATGGCGAACGACAGGAAACGAAGTCTGCTTTTGGACGTTTGGGTGGAGGAGGGCTGTGGCAGTGGCTGAAGGAGATACTCTTATGGGATATTATCATTCGCTTTTAAGAAACTACTCTCATCTTCGTTACCTAATTTCATTGTTCTAGAATTATGACTTGTCGAACATTTGGTTGGTTGTTTTTTTCGTATTTGCTTGGATTGCTATGATGTTGACTATATGACGTTTTATATTTTAAACTCTTTCATAATTTCATTGTAGGATGTCTGATGTAAACGACAATATTCAGTATGATGAATTAGACGACATTATGGAAACGGACTACGAATCTAGCGATATGATGAAATGCAAACCAATGATTTTGCTTCGCGTGTAGAAGATAAGACGACCATCGAAAATAGCACGCACAATTAAATTAGGGAGTATATTTGTGCGTCATTTAAAAAAAATAGTCCGCACAATGAAAAGGTCACCGTCGACTTTTGAACATCGCAAGAGAATGCCCTATCGTGAAAGAAGAATTACCGGAATGCAATGGGTAAACGAGCTACTCGAGAGGAACCCAACACGATTTCGCAACACAATGGGTGTGGATAAACAAGTTTTCCGTCGGCTATGTGCAGAATTGCAAAGGAGAGGCGTGCATGGGTATCACAAGCAAAGAAAGGTCTGTATTGAAGAAAGCGTTGCAATATTTTTGCACACAATTAAAGGACACCAACGACATAGGCGTTCAGTAGAGACTTTTAGACGATCTAGGAAGACTATTTCGTGACACTATCATATCCTTATTAACGCCCTTAGGGATATGGGCCCAAACTACATTCGACCCTCGAACTTCAATCTGGTGCCGACCTGGATACACAATAACAGGCACTTGTATCCATATTTCAAGGTAACAGTAATTGCATTCATGTACTTTTATTTTGACAACATTGCTTTAATCTCTAAAACTATCCTTGGTAGCAGGATTGCATTGACGCAATTGATCGCACAATTATACCAGCATGGGTTCCCCGTGGACATCAGGGGGCTTACAGATGCAGAAAAGGACATGTAGCCCAAAACGTCATGGTCGCAGGTGATTTCGGCCTCAACTTCACCTTTGTGTGGGCAGGATGGGAAGGTAGCGCTAATGATCCCCGAGTTTTTAGAGATAGGTTGTGCGATTCGAGGTATCAATTCTCTTTTCCACCACCGGGTATGTTCATGATCTCCATTTAGTTTGTGAATCTCTTAAAACAATGGTAAATTACATTCCCTATTTTGTTGGGTCGACAAGAAGATTAATAGATTATTTGTAGGTAAATATTACGTTCTCGATTCTGGATATTCAAACCATCCCGGTTTTTTGGCGCCATATCGCGGCGAGAGATATCATTTGCCTGAGTGGGTGGGTACAAATAGGACCCCCAAAAATGCCCGTGAACTCTTTAACAGACGACATTCATCGGTACGGAATGTAGTGGAACGGACCTTTGGTATTCTTAAGAACCGGTTTCCAATTTTGAGGAATCTAATGCTGACATACTCCCTTAAGTCGCAGACGGATATGGTTGTGGCTTGTTGTGTTTTACACAATTTTATCCTGAGAAATCAAGAAAAGAATGAGACACCAGCGCACTTCTTGCAACCCGATTATGTTCCACAACGTCATGCGGATGATTTGACGATGCCCTTCATGAATATATTGGATACCACAATGGAGGGCGAAGAGGAACAATGTGCGATGAGTGATAGAATTGCGACAGCTCTATGGGAGGACCACGTGAGCCGCGGTCGTTAGGTTTATCCCAATTGTATTGTTCGTGTCACAATCCGTTTTATGTGTTGTTGTGTCTCAATTTTGTGTAATCATTGTGGCTAGTGAACCAAACTTTCACTTTAATATGAGTTCACAGCCATGTTAAATTTCATTGCAAGATTGCCTTGAGATGATTCGAAGACAATATTTGTCATTTTTTTCCTACTATGGATATGTAATTACAAATTAAGTTATAAGAATAGGTGTAAATATATATATATATATATATATATATGTATATATATATGTATATAGGGTTGAGTTCACATGAGAATAGTTCTCAATGAAGGAAATGAGAAAAAAATCCTAGCCATTAGATCAGATGATCTAATGACTACAAAAAAGTCAAAATTATACCTTCATTAAGGACATTAAAGTAATTTTATATAATACATTCAAACCAATATGTCGCACTCTAAATCAATTAAACCTGCCACCTACCCACCTACCCCAACAACAAACACTTCACAACCACACCTTTTTCTCTCTCTCTCTCTCTTACTCTCCCCGTCACTCTCTCTCTCCCTCACAATTACACACACCCACACCACCGACACACACACATAGACACACAGAAACAAAGCGACGCCACCATGACCTCCTCGCCGGCTCCGACATATCTCCATCTCGGTCTCCGCCACAGCCGTAGGTCGGCTTTCAAACATTGCCTCAACCACCCCTCATGCCGCTGCCATCGGACACAGTCGCGTTGCCGCCAACGACATGAAGGCTGCCGCATCTCCACCAGACACGGCCACGCTGCCCAATGTGAACCGCCTCCGCCAAAAAGCTTCGATCGTTGCAGTCGTCGCCTACACCACTCCGACAATAAGTCGCGGCCGTCGGGAATCCACCGTCATAGGTCGCCAATCTCGCACAGTCCCCGTCGATTTCACCATCTCGGCTGGAAGTTAGAGACGGAGGTCGCCGCAAGACAAACGGAACCTCGCTGCCGCCATGGACGCCGGACGTCGCGACCTGAGAGTGCTGCTCGAGTGGGGTGGTGGCCTGGTGGAGGAAGAAGATGAATTTGGAGAAGGGATGATATCAATATAAAACGTGAAAATAGATTGTAGGATTGGGCACATTTTTTAGAATTGGATTATGTGTAGAGATCTATTTGCAATTTTAACAATTGTAAGTATATTTCAATTTAACCCATGTGTCAAATCTACAATTATTGAAAGTTAATAAAAAATTATTTTTTGTACAATTTCTTATGCATATATTTTAAATAATAAATAAATTATTAAATAATAATAATATAAAATATTAAAATGACAAATATTTTATAGTGATGAGTAAATTTTATAATAAAAAATAGTAAATAAAAAGATGTTTTAATAATTTAACTTATTTCGATGTACAATTATAACTAATAAATAGTGTTCTAATACACATAATTTTTAAATTAATGCATGTTATATAACTGGATGTGGCACTTGTAAAACAACCTGTTGCACTTTACAGGACGTCACGTTGCACTTTATTAACATAATTAACGTCAACAACACTCGCAAAAAAATTACTCGGTATAAATCCAAAATATGGTAAATAATAAATAAATTATTAAATAACAATAATGTAAAATATTAAAATAACATAAAAATAGTTTATAATAATGAGTAAATTATATAATTAAAATAGTAAATAAAAAGCCATCTTAATTATTTAAATTAATTCGATACACAATTATATCTATTAAATAATTATATCTATAAAATAGTTTTTCAACACACATATTATAAATTAATGCACGTTATATAGCGGGATAGTATAGCTACTCCCAACCCGGCGCACTTTATAAAACAAAATGTTGCACTTTATAAGACGTCACATTGCACTTTATCAACCTAATTAACGCGGTATAAATCTAAAAAAATTATATATCTACATAATTGCACTTTATACATCAGTACGTTGCATTATAATACAAAAATACATTGGACTTTATAACACGACATTTTTACAACTTATAAACAACACAATATGTTAATAATGCTAATCGGTCGAATAAATTAATTGGTTAAATGTCGAATTTAGTATTTTTAAATAAATAAAATAACGGAGCATAACGAACTATATGAAAAATATTACCATTTTTTTTTATTTATATTTTTTAATAAAATTTTACACTATTTTTTTACATATATATATATATATAGGGATGCGCTCCAGTGAGAATGGTTCTCAATGAAAGAAATAAAAATAAATCTTAGCCATTATAAATAAGTGATCCAACGGACAAAAGACTCATCATTAATACATTCAGTAAGGTCAATAAAATAATTTCTCCACACAACTCACTCCATTCAAACAAACTACACGTGGGTCCCACTCCACTAACAAGTCTCTCTCAATCTCTCAATCACCTCACGTGACTCTCTCCCCCTCTCTCTCTCTCCTCACCTCTTTCCTTCTCTCACATACACGACCAGACCCAAGCTCCATTTTTTTTTCTCTCTGTCACACATACACAGACCCACGCCACACTTACGCACACACCCACTCTCACTTTCGACCACCTCACACAAAATCGCTATTTCTGCCAGAGCCGTTCGCCACCGACGCACGCCGACCCTAGCTTCGACCGGAGAATTCGCGTCTGAACGGTGGTCGAAAATGTTCGTCGGCAGGATGCCTGACAGCGGGAATCTTGGTAAGGCTGCCTTACGCCTCGTCCGATAATCAACCGCATGCCGCCGGACACGACACAAAAAACACGCACACACACACAGTGACCAAAAAGACGACGATTGACCAACGCCGGGATCCCAAAGATTGTCTGACCGTGGCGGCGCCACCACTTGCCGTCGACCACTTCAATTTCATGATAGATTCGGCAGTGCAAAATAAATTGGGATTAGGGTTTTTTATTGAGAATTAGATATTTTTAGGGGTCTATTGTAATTTTAAGATTTTGTTATTTTCAATTTAACTCATGGGGTAAATGTGTAGTTTATAAAAATATATAAAAATATTTTTATATTTTTTTTTACATTTATATATAATGTATTTTCAACCAAAAAAAAAAAAGATATTAAAGAAAAATAATAAAATACTAGATATAATTTTTATGATGTAAATAATAAAAATATCCAATTATTTAGGTTAATTCAATTAAACAACCCAATAACTCAATATATTAGTTTGATTTCAGTTTGATTTTGAAA